ACTACTGTCTACCAGTCGAAAAGTCTTGACCCCCTGAACAAGTTTGCCCAATACAGTAACTTTCTAGCTGGTCAAGAACTCGAGCTATTGTATATGCGAGAATTACACGTATATACTAGCGCCTCGTAGTGTGAAATTTCTGAACTACTCCACCAACTTCGGGAGCTGCTTGTCGTGATACTTAGGTTAACGTTTCGCTCTACGACGGCAGCTGCTGCTTCCACACCGGCCATTCCAATCAGCATTAAAAATTCATTCCAGTTCCGTGTCTCAGTTCTGATCGGTGTACGCTTGCTTTCGGTTTGCAACATTGCATCAAGCTTAACAAAACATTTGAATTGTCAAAATACAGGGTTGCCAATCTTAAACGCAGGCAAAAGAACGTAAGAATTCCATAAGAAACAATTATGAATTTTAGCCACAAGAAATCAGTATGATTTTCACTGATTTGCTTTATGAAAAATAATGTTGACAAAAAAATAATAAATCGGAGCAGACTGGAACACAACCAAGGACGTTTAGATTACGGAGCTCGTGTGTTGACCACTCGTCTTTCAACGCTTAAGAAAATGAAATGGCGTGTGAGAGCTACGTTATGTTAGACGAAAACCTTTCATAAGTCGTGCTAATGACATTCACATTTGCCGTTCAAAAGTTGAGTCTTATGAAATGCTTAAGTCTATTTGTCGCATTTACAATCGATCACAAACAAAGTCAGCCCGATGAGTGGTACTCTCGGCACTGCCGGCACAGCAGCACACTGAGAAAGATGTTGCGTGCAACGGAATCATTTTTGTTTCGAGGCAACTCTCAGCTTCATTTTTACATGTTGAGAATAGTCTCGCAATATCAAAGGAGCTTGTAAAATCAATATCAAGCTTGATAATTTGTTCCGATATCACGCGGGAGATTGAGAACGTATGAGAGCGGAAAATAAAATTTGATTGATGATTTTGCCAACAATGCACACTGGGCCAGGAATGCAATGTTGCGGAGCAAAATTAATAACTTCGAAACGAAGCATTTCCGCGACTTGGTGTCTTGTGCAAAGTTTCTCATCATAATAAGGACCATCTATTGACATAAACAAATAGATTAAATTTCTTCCGCAAAGATGGCGCCACAATCTAACTTCTTTTACTGACGTTTCGGAGACTTGATGTTTTCAGCAAAGTTGTTTATCTTGACAAAATAAACAACTCTTTTCAAGACGTAAAATTTGCACAGCCTGCTGGTTCCGAGTTATATGGAGTTAAAGAAAAAAATGTCGAAAATATGGTTTTTTTTTTCTTTCTATTTCGGTTTTTTTTGCTTACAACCAAATAATTTTATATTTTTCTCTTATGCAAATGCATTAAATAAATAACTTTTGAGAATAAACATATTGATTTAAGCTTCAAATTTTAAAAATATTGTTGAAAAAACGAAAAAACAGCAATTTTTTAACTTATCTCCCAAAGCGCAAAAAATCGCAACCTGAAAATATTGAAAAAAGAAACATGTTCCACTAAAATGAAGAAATCTAAAAAAACCATTGCCTAATTTTTGCTGAAAATGTCAGGTTGCGATTTTTTTTGCGCTTTGGGAGATATTAAAGTTCAAAAATTGTTATTTTTGTCGTTTTTTCAACAATATCTTCAAAATTTGAAGCTAAAACCAGTGTGTTTCTTTACAAAAGTAATTTATCTGATGCATTTGCATAAGAGAAAAATATAACATTATATGATTGTAAGCAAAAAAACCGAAACAGAATGAAAAAATCACATTTTCGACATTTTTTCTTTAACTCCATATAACTCGGAACCAGTAAGCTGTGAAAATTTTACGTCTCGAAAAGAGTTGTTTTTTTTTGTCAAGATAAAAAACTTTGCTGAAGACATCAAGTCTCCAAAACGCCAGTGAAAGAAGTTAGATTGTGGTGCCATTTTTGCGGAAGAGTTTGGAACTATTTGTTTACGTCAATGATGAGAAACTTTGCCTAAAACACCAAGTCGTGGAAATGTTTCGTTTCGGAGTTATTAATTTTGCTCCGCTAGATTGCATTCCTGGCCCCATGGGGAATGGTGAGTATAGAATCACAGTAGGCGTTGGTTGCCAGGATAAGTTCATTTATTTACATCATGGTTTCACCGGAGCAAGCACGTCGCGATTTGCTCCTGCACGCTCGAAACTGAAATCCCGGTCTATCCGCTCTTTGCAGCTTTTGATCAGATTCCTGGGCGGAAGAGTGTCCCGAAAAAAAAAATGTAAATAGGGGAAATGCAGGTAATGTCGGCCTAAGTGTCCCTAATTTGGGCCCATACATAAATTCACAATTTTCACTAGCAACCAAAAATATCCATTAGTTACGTCCCAATAACGCGTTCATCTAGATAAAATTGATAAATAGCAGACTTTTGACGATGGGCCCAAATTAGGGACATGTAGGCCGACATTACCTACATTTCCCAAAAAGAAGTCTAAATTCCACAAAAAGTTCATTGTCTGGCAAGCAATCTGCAGTTGTTGGCTAAAAGTGAGCTGGTACCATCAACCAGCAAATTTACCAGGAGGAGTCCCTACGGGAGAGTTCTACTCAAATTCCTCCAAACAATAGTACAGCGAAAATGGCGTCACAGTGTTTCCCAAAGATATGAATAAAGCCAATAATCCGGAACTAAGACCAATCGAGGAAAGCTGGTCAATTGCGAAGCACATACTGAAGAAAAAGGGTGGAACTGCAATTGACCTGAAGGATTTCAAGTTGGGAATGGAATTTGGCTGCCAAACAAGTGGGAACAGGGCTCGTGCAATGATGGGCCGTGTACAACTTTGAGCAAGGGTCTATGGTAAGAAGGAATACTGAATGGTCTTACAATAAGCATAGTACCTATTAATGTATAACTGTTATATTGAACTATGAATCGCATTTTAAACCTCAACAAGAAATCCGTGTCAATTTTTTTCGTGATCAACCTTTAGGCAGTAGTATTTGAAATTTAATTTATGCTAAAGACAATTATTATTTCTTTTTAATATTTTTTTGCTAAGTTAAATTAAAATATTTTTAAGTTAAATCTTCGTGATAACAGAATATTCTAGGGCGTGGTATGAGCGGATGCTTATTTTATCCCAACAGAATTATTTCTCTTTTTTTCAAACGAGTAAAAGTTTAGTTTTTCTATTCAATTTGAATTCATGGTGTGGGGTAAGTGTGCCAGTTTTTTACTCTAGTGGCCCTCTAATTGGCCCGATCTTAAATTTTACATTTCGTGTTTTTTTTTATAAAATTAATTTCGATGCAAGGGAGGAACATATATTTTGCGATGCATCTACGCAACTCAATATAGGGTATACGTCCCTAACCTCGGTCTAATATGCAGCCATCGATTACGTTTTTAATCATAACTCATCAATGAATTTACCTGCAAACGATATTCTACTGCTAAATGGTATGCTTAGATATGCTTATCATGTCGTTTGCTATCAGAAACCACGAAAAGTTGAAAAACTTACTTTTTTTAAGACAATAACTCACGAGGGAAATGTATGTAATATGGGTCTATTGTCCCCAAATTGGGTCTATTTATGGATGCAACTTCGTCCTATCTTGTTTGATCCTCAAAAAAACGCTCTTGGTAACGTTTTCTGATGTATTTTTTTTTATCACTATCACTGTTAACTTAATGCTCTTCATTCCTCAAAACATTTCTTAGAGAAAATTTTACGAAAACTACATTAAATCACTCAATTTAAAAATTAAAAATTAAAAATTTCGCTTATCGTCTTTTGACCGCAGAATATCTAAATCAGAACATTGTGATGTTCATTATACAGGTTTGGCAGAAAAAATCTCCCTTCCTGTTCGTTCCTTATCATCCAAATGCAAAACAACATTGTTGACGTTACTCTTATTGCTATATGCTGTCAAATGAATTTCATGGGCCATAGTTAGGAACATAGAAAAGAAATGTGTCCCTAAAGTTGGGTCCATGTTTTACTTGTGAAAACGTTGTTAAACAATTAAAATAAACATAAAATATTCAAACAGCAACTGTAAGTTTTACGTCTAGTGTGTATTATCAGGTAATTCCAATCAATAAATGCCATAATCAGGCCATTTGATGATCGTCAGTCAACCTTCCCATCTTAACCTTATAAGTCATGGCGGCTAAAAACTCCGAACATTGTGATATTCTCAACCAGTTTTATTACTTACGAGAGCTGAAAATGTATTGAAATGTTGTGATATAAATTGATTTGTGTGTGGTACACATTTATCAACCATCAGTGATCAATATTTTCCTTATTTTTTGTGTAATATTCCTTAATTAATTATTTATTTGCGTGATAGGCCGAATGAAAGGACTAGACCCACATTACATACCGTAATGAAAAGTTATTTCAAATGTGAAAAACTAGAGCGCTAGTGTCATAACTGGTACACTTAGGCCTATTCATTTGGTTGAAAATCATTCAAATTTTTCACTGAATTTGGTGAATGATTTTCTTAAGGTGGCCGATCTGCCCAGTATCCTCCTACATTGGATGAAACTGGTAAAAAAATCTCTATCTTGACCCGAGCAATTTGTCTTGTTTGATAAAATGTAGCTTCTACTTCGTGTGACTTCGTCCCATTTAACTTCACCGGCAAACGTTTTCCAGACCGCATGCGAGAACTGAGCAGCCGGCTGGCTTGGCTCGTTTGCTCGTTGTTTAAAACTGTAAGATTTATTTTATTTATACTTGAGCTTGCCTTTCCTCGGTGCTTGCTGGACTTATTTTGTGTCGGATCGCATGGATTCTGGTGCACGTTCAGAGATTTGGAAATTCGTTCACTATGTATTGCAATTACGGATTCGAAATGCAATAAGAGGTTTAATTTGTTCCTATATCGTACACCGATATTGCTGGTTCCGATTCAATTTCATTAGACATTAGTTTAAAAGTTTTCCAAGGAATTGATTTGCTATTCGTGTGACGTTTAATTGAATTCGAATGAGAGAGAAGACCTAACTCACCTACAACTTTCAGTTCGACAAACACCGATTGCACCGGGTGCACCGACAGTTGGCATTCGTATAGACCCCGGTCCTCGTCCCGAACCGCCTTGATCCGCAGTGCCCAGTGACCCATGTGCCGGATATGGTGCACCAGGAAGCGTTCGTCACTGCTGTATGTGGAAAATCCTACGGTGAGCAGCTGGAAGTCTCTTCGCCTGACCCAGGATACCTGCAAGGAAGGAGGAAATCAAAACAAAGACACGAATGAGTGCTTTTTGTTTGTCTTTTTTTCCGGTTTGGGGAACGCTGTTGTTGTTGTTGTTGTTGTTGTTGTTATTGTTATTGCGAATGCTTACCAGGGCGGAAGTTTGTGTCAGTACGGTGCATGGCAGCAGCGCTGTGCCACCCTTTTGTGCCGTAACTTTGGTATTGTTTCGAGTAGCAAAGTATGCCTGTGACGTTGCCGGTGCCAGATAGTTGGCCGGCATTGAGCTGGGATCTGAAAAAGGCGAAATGTGGGATGTTACATTGCATACATTTGTTTGGAATGAAAGATCAATCAACAATCGGAGAACTTTGTCAAATAACATTTTTATTCCACAACACAATAATATCAATGCAAGTTTAAACTGAAATTCACCGATATGATAACATACAAAATGATTTGTTAATTAAAGCTAAGTAGGTAAGTCAAATAGCTAGCTTGCAGACCTAACAGAAATTCACGTTGTGTCACTGGCACTTCCGGTAGCGCTTTACGTTCATCAATCGTGAACGTTAATTTAGAAGAGGCTGACAAGGTGATGGGCTTTGATGTCTGCTGTTTAATATCGTTTTGAAAGTTGTGATTAGACGAGCAGAGAAGAATAGATACGAGTGGTACAATCATCAAGAAGTATGTCTGTTCGCCGATGATAGCGAGATCACGGCATGGAAAGTTGAGACTATCAATGGCGGAAACGTACATCCGACAGAAGGCTGAAGCCAACCGTATTGGACTTGTCATTAACGCATCAATGTCAAAATCGAGGTTTAGGAGAAGATAATATTAGCGTCCCACCACTAGTTCGGATTGACAGCGATGAAATCGAGGTGGTCGATGAGTTCGGCAATTAATCATATAGTCCGGCCATTTTCCACAGAGATGGCGCTGTTACGCTGGTAGGAAGTGATAAAGATCCCCATATAGAAGTTGAGTGAAGTGGGAATAATTCGCTTCGGTACACACTTAGAAAAAATCACCGACTTCGGTAATTCATTTACCGAATTCTCAACAGCTGAACGGTCGGTAATGTTTTCGGTAATGGAGAAAATTACCGAAAAATCTGTAAACTGGATCAGCAAAATTAGCTGTCAAATTTACCGAACGATCGGTAACGTTTACCGATGTGCATTGCTTGATTTGTAGTCGACTTTACCGGAGAACTGTAATTTTGAGGACGATATGCAAATCGAAAATTACCGAGAGATCTGTAATTTTTTAAAAAGGTCACCGACTCAACTGTAATCAAGGTGGTGGTCACTGCAACCCATGCAAAAATTTGGCTGCAGTCGTGATCAATAAGTTAGTGTTACAAATTGCACCACCAATGAACAAAACCGTTGGCGACGATCTGAAAACAGCATTTGGAATATTCTTCCAATGCTTCCTTGTTACCAGTGTAGCGCCGATTCTTTCCGACAAAAACTTAAGATTCGGCGCTACACTGAAAACAAGGAAGCATTGGAAGAAGATTCCAAATGCTGTTTTCAGATCGTCGCCAACGGGAATGGAACTTGAACCGACAGAAAAAAACAAGCAACAACATCGGCCTTCTGTAATCGGGATTTATTTAGATAACGGAAATTAATTATTTACGGAAAATTTCCACGATTCGCTCATCTTGTTGTTGCATAACAGCCTATATAATTTCACCTTTTGTTATTTTTGACAAGCACGAACGCTTTTAATGTCGATCGAAAATAACAATATGGTGGATTTGACGTTTACCTAGACCGTTACCGAACTCAGTAATGGAATGCTTTGTTTACCGAAACTCCAGTAAAATATTTCACCGAAGTCAGTGATGAAGCTGATTTACAGACCTGCTGGTAAAAATGTTTACCGTTTTCGGTAAATTAAAATAAAATTACCGAAATTCGGTCATTTCATTTACAGTTTTCAGCAATAAAGCGAGAAAATACCGAAACATCTGTAATTTTTAGCATTACCGATCTAAGGCGGTATTTTTTTTTACCGAAGTCAGGGTCTCTGTTTAAGTGTGTATATATTCAGGTCAAATAAAGTGAACGACAACCTAAATAAATTAGTCAGGGACTTTGTCGTTCAGTTTTACCCGGATATTATTGTTAAACAAGCTACAGTTAAATAAAAATGTTTTTCCCCATACAGTTTTACCTGCTTTACTACCAGTCCCCAGAGAGCCAAAAAATTAAAATTTGAGAGATAAAATTAGTTCTCACTGGTTCAATTTCTCAACATGCCATGTATTTTGATGACACTCTATTTGTGATTTCCCTTTTACAGACTACAAAATAGAGTACCTGCCACTACAAAACATGCCTGGTACCTCTAAATATGCATTTTGATTAACATCCGAAGACCCTCCTTTTTTACATATTCTACACAAAAGATACTTTCTGCCCCGCCCTATTCATGGAAATCGGCGGGAAATCCTGTGAGGGGTGAGCTATTTTGTGTAAATGGGAGGGACTTCGTATGTTAATCTAAATGTATATAGAGAGGTACTAGACATGCTTTTCACTGCACTGTCCTCTCTGAACAATTAACGGGAAACAAATTAAAGGGTGATACGGTCAAAATTTGGTCAAGGGAAAACGCGTGTAAATCGGTGAAATCGTTTATTTAAAAAATCAAATTATATTTCTTTTTCAAGTTCAATTAGTATAAAATTCAGGAAAAATATTCAGTTAGGCTTCCGCTTTTCCAAATTCGAATTGCCGGGCCTTACGCTTGACCCTTGCCATCAGATTTTGTATAACCACCTTCTTCGCCGCAGAAAGCCAGTTTGCCTTGAACTGCTGCTCGCCCTTAGCAGTTTTTTTGGTTTTCTTTAGGTTCCGCTTGACAATAGCCCAGTATTTCTCAGTTGGGCGGAGCTCTGGCGTGTTGGGAGGGTTCTTGTCCTTGGGAACCACCTGCACGTTGTTGGTGGCGTACCACTCCATGGCCTTTTTACCGTAATGGCAAGATGCCAAATCCGGCCAAAACAGTACGGAACAACCGTGTTTCTTCAGGAAAGGCAGCAGACGTTTATTCAAACACTCTTTCACGTAAATTTCTTGGTTGACAGTCCCGGAAGCTATGAAAATGCTGCTTTTCAAGCCACAGGTACAGATGGCTTGCAAAACCAGATATTTCTTTGCGAACTTTGACAGTTTCATGTGCTTGAAAACATCTGCTACCTTTCCCCTTCCTTTTGCCGTATAAAACTCCTGTCCCGGAAGCTGCTTGTAGTCGGCTTTGACGTAGGTTTCGTCGTCCATTACCACGCAGTCAAACTTCGTCAGCATCGTCGTGTACAGCCTCCGGGATCGCGCTTTGGCCGTCGTATTTTGTTTATCATTGCGATTTGGAGTCACTACCTTCTTGTAAGTCGATAGTCCGGCTCGTTTTTTGGCTTGATGCACGGTTGTAGACGATACACCCAGCTTATTTGCGGCATCTCGGAGAGAGAGGTTAGGGTTTCACTTGAAACTACCGGCAACTCTCTTTGTCGTCTCAGCGGCTTCCGGTTTTCGATTTCCCACCGATCCAGACTTCCTGGCTGTCGACAAATGTTCCCCAAACACTTTAATTACATTTGTAACGGTTGATTTGGCAACTTTTAGCGATTTTGCCAACTTTGCGTGCGAGTAGCTCGGATTTTCGCGATGCGCGAGCAAAATTTTGATACGCTGCTCTTCTTGCTTGGACGGCATTTTGACAACTGAAGAGTGAATTCCAAAATCAAAATAGGAGCAACATTCTACACACACACACCTTCAAAATGAGGGGTGTTCAGGTTTTTTAAATGCAAAATTGAAAGAAATACGTCAAGTTGATATTGACCAAATTTTGACCGTATCACCCTTTATGTGTAGTTTCCGATAGAAGTCACCGCCAACAACAGCAGTGGCATCTGATTGAAAACGAATGCAGAAGCTTGACAAAATGATTAATATGGAGTCAATGGTTTCAACCGATAATAACACCAGCAGATATATTCAAAGATGAATTATGACAGGGAACCGCACTTTTTTTTTTAATTTTTCTTGTTTCAAATTCAAATCAAGAAAAGTTCGGACCTAGACATTTATCTATATTTCTGAACTTCTTGTCGGAAATTTTGTGAAGCTCTCATCGAAAGTTATCTGAATTTTTCATCGGATGTTCTCAGAACTTCTTCTCAAAAGTTTTCTGAACTTCTCCTCGGATGTACACGGAATTTATTTTCGGAAGGTTTGAACTTCTCCTCGGAAGATCTTTGAACTTTTCGCCGGAAGTTCTCTGGTCTTCTCCTCGAAAGTTCTCTGAACCTCTCCTTGACAGTTCTCTTAACTTCGCCTTGGAAGTCCTCTGGACTTCTTATCGGAAGTTCTGTGAACTTCTCCTCTGAAGTTTTTTGAACTTCTCCTTTAAAGTTCTCTGAACTTCTTCTCGGAAGTTCTCTGAAATTCTCGTTGGACGTACTATGAATATCTTCTGAACATAAGAACATTCCTTTCTGAAGTTCTCTAAACTCGGAACACTTGGAATTTCAGAGAGCTTTAATGAAGTTCTGTGAGCTTCTTGGATCTTTTCTTCGAAAAATCCCTGAGCTGCTCATCAAAAGTTATCTGAACCTCTCGTCGGAAGTTCTCTTATCTTCCTGTCGGAAGTTCTCTGAACTTTTCGTCTAGTTTCAAGGAACTTTGATGAAGTTCTGTGAACTTCAGGGAAGTTCTGTGAACTTCACAGAAGTTCTGTGAACCTTAAAGATTTTTAAAGAACTTTTAACTTCAAGGAAGTTCTGTAAACTTTTCGTCGGAAGTCTTGTGAACATTTGTTCGGAAATTATGCGTTTTGTGAAATTTTTCGTTGGATAATCTGTAAACTTCCCTTAAAGTTCATAGAATTTTGCCTTAAGCTTACGGAATTTTGCCTGAAATTCAGAGAACTTTGCTTGAAGATCACATAATTTCACCTGAACTTCAGAGAACTTCGTTTTAATATCAGATAACTTCCCTTGAAGTTATCCGATCATTCACAAACTACATAGGAACACTTTAAAGCTCCATCGGAGTAGTTCAGCGATCTTCAAGGAAGTATTGTGAACTCTAAAACAGTTCAGCGCATTTCAGAGTTGTTTTGCAAAAAAGCGATAAGCTCCATCAAGAATAATACACGATTTAATCTAGATTTTAGATTCTAGTAGAGAGTGTCTATGTGTACGCGTATTCAGAACGCTGGCAAAACTGGTCAAACAATTGAAAAAGGGCTATCAGTTTATGTAAACA